GAGACCCGTGACGTGGGGGGAGGGATGGGGGGTGGTGGGTGGGGTGGGAGAGCGGGACGGGGGTCAACGCTGCGCCCTGGGAATCGCCTACCCCGGTCGGGCTTAATTACGGCGGGCGGGACTCCGCTCCGCTCCACTCCACTGCGCCGAGGAGAGGCGGGCGCGTGGATCCGCGCGGCGCGGCCAAATTGGATGGCTTTGGCGGGGCCGGCTTTGAACTCGGACGACTGCTGGACGGTGGGCTCCTCTAGTCTACACTCCTCGGTGGAGCGGGCGTTTCGAAAGTGCGGCCGACGCGAGCGCAAAGGCGACGGGGAGGGGACTGGGGTAGGGAGAAGATTACAGTTTACAACGGGAACGAGGAAGCATCCCATGTGAATCACCCGACGTTTATCGAGAGTGGCTTTGTTTCTTTTGTGATGGCAGTGTAAACTACTCCACTGTCAACATGTGAAGATTTATCGCATGCCTTCACGTGCTTTTTACCAAGTCAAATTCGACGATATTGTGGCCCAGTTCTTTTGACCGATTCTACCAGAATCTTGAGAATTGACCCAGCTTCTCTCAGAATATTTAACTCATATTTTGTTTTTACAATCCTAGCTAGTTAGGAGTAAACAGCTACTAGGATTGTAAAAAAAAATGGGTTCAAGATTTTGGGAGAAATTGGGTTCCAAGAGTAGATTGTAAGAGCATCTATAACCGCATCTAGCTAATCCGGCCTCTCAAACTTCGTGAACACGTCCGCACACAATGACTGATCACATCCTAATGTCTTCTTCCACAACCAGATACCTCGTTACCAAATCCTCGAATCCACGCAATTACATGGAATGTAAAACCTAGTCTAAATCTTCGTTGGGGCTAGTTCATCTTCATGTTTGTGTCCTATTCGCCGGCCGGCTGAGCCCCGGGAGTGAAGGTGCGGTCGCCGGCGAGGAAGAGTGGACATGGGACACGGAACGGCTTACAGGACTCAAGGCAGTGCCGTCTCCCCACCCTACTATTTCCTCATCGGAGCTCGTGGCCTGGACGCCGTTGCTCAATGTGAGGTCCACGATAGGCCCCTCGTAGTTGGAGCCCGACACCTCTAGCACGACACAGTTGTGGCGCTAGGGGGCGATCACCTGTACCGGCGCCGGAGGGGCGTCCAACTCCGCCTCCGAGGAGAGGCGCGTGGATCCGGGCAGCGTGACGTGGGTGCCCGATTCCGCAAATTGGATGGCTTTGGCGGGGCCAGCTTTGAACTCGGACAACTATTGGACGGTGGGCTCCTCTGCTCTGTTTCCTCGGTGGAGCAGGTGTTTCGAAAGTGCAGCGACGCGAGGGCAAAGGCGACAGTGTCAGTGTGGAACGATGATCTATGGGACCAACATGCCCCTTCGTGGTTCGGCGAGGGGAATGCACTAAACGCAGAGAGCAGGATGAACAGAGAGCACGACGATCGTTTACCCAGGTTCGGGCCACCTTTCAGGTGTAATACCCTACTCCTGCTTGATTATATTAGGAACATGGATGCACAATTACAAAGGAGCGCTCTTCCCCGGCAAGGCGTGGGGTGGCAGCTACACGAGCAAGAGTGCGTCTGAGTTTGAATGGGTTCGAACCCCTCTAAAGGTTGCCCCGATCCTCCTTTTATAGTGTAAAGGAATACCACAATGGCAAAATAGTCATTACATAGTGACTAGATAGAAACAACGCTATCATATCTAACTCTGCTAGTTAGGACAAAGAGCATTTAATGCATCTCTAGGTGTCGCACGGAGGAGAAACCCCGACAAGTGTATTGTACCGCTTACTACAGCTAACTCCTATTATCTTGACACGCTGCTAGGACGGGCGTCGATACAGGTAATTTCACTCCCAGTATGCTGCCACGTGTTGGCCATCTCCACCTAACTACCTGTGGGCTCGACACCTCACCGCCCAGCGACCAGGTGGCTACAGAGGTGGAGCGCTAGTAGTTGGTGGGGGTCCGCTGGCGACGGAGCTTGTCGGGTCTTCTCCTTGCCGGCAAGGGTTGCTTCTATTGTAGATCTCGCAACTTGTTTCAACCCTTGGTCTTCTTGATGTGCTCATTGATCTCCGAAGAGTTGTCTTCTTGAGTTTGGTCGCTTGTTCGGAGGCTCCAACTTGGCGGGGGAGTTGCTACTTGTCTGCGCATAAGTCAGGGTAGTAAACACTCATGTTTACTGCACCGACAGGAGCCCCGGGGCCTAGATCACGCGTGTTGCTGGGCATCGTAATGCACAGACAAGCAACATTGATCATGTCTAAATTGGCACATGTGTCTTGAAAACTTCTTTGCTTGTTTATTAATATGAAACCAAGCCAGCCCTTGGCTTTCCTCTAGTACTCTTGCCACTTAGGCGACATACTTTGTTCATGTCAACAACTACCAGAGCGGCTCCATGGTCACGTGTGGCTCAGGTAACTACCATGTTTGTGTAGCGCTCAAGATGCGATTATATCCCAATCACGTGATGAACTCATGATTGGGGCACAACCGCATTTCGAGCGCATACCAAGGTGGATATCATTACAACATACCATGTACTGAATAGATGAGAATACAAGATAAAGGCTTACACTCGCCACAAGTTACAACATTCATACAACAATACATCAATACATAGCAATCATCATACAAAAGAGCAAGATCTGACTACGGATGAAATCAAACGAAAAAGAAGAACGACATCCACCCTGCCAGTCCCAGGTTCCCGGACCTGGAACCTATCCCTTGATCGAAGAAGAAGAAGAAGAACTCCAAAACAAGCAAGCATCACACTCGCGTTAGATCATCGCATTACCTGTACCTGCAACTGTTGTTGTAGTAATCTGTGAGCCACGAGGACTCAACAATCCCATTACCATGGGTATCAAGACTAGCAAAGCTTAATGGGTATGGAAAAGGATAAGTGGTGAGGTTGCAACAAGCGACTAAGCAATATATGGTGGCTAACTTACGATTACAAGAGTAAGATGAGAATCTATGCAAACGGTCGCAAACTAGTAATGATCAAGAAGTGATTCTGAACTACTTATGTTCAAACATAACCCAACAGTGTTCTCCTCTCGAACTTCCCCGAAAAGAGACAATCACGGTTAGACACGTGGTTGGTGTATTTTAATTGAGTTTAGTTCAAGTCCACTACAACCGGATATTAACAAATTCCCATCAGCCACATAACCGCGGGCACGGCTCTCGAAAGTTTAAACCCTGCAGGGGTGTCCCAACTTAGCCCATGGTAAGCTCATGATCCGCGGAGACAATCCTCCGTCGCGGGACCCTCCGGTCAGACTCGGAATCCCGTGCACAAGACATTTCGACAATGGTAAAACAAAACCAGCAAGACCTCCCGATGCACCGACCTAGCCTGATAGGAGTCGCACGTATCTCGTTCTCAGGGTACACCGGATGGGCAAGACGTCGAGTTGGATGAGACCCTTGTTGCCCAGGGGGCGTCGGACATCGTGCAGTTTGGACCAACACTCATGTGGAGAATTGGCCCTGGGGGTTGATTAAGTCCACGTGGGTCTGCAAGTCCATATGCAAGTTTTAGTTTTTATTAGGCAAATGGTAAAACCAATGTTGGGCCTTGCTGGAAGAGTTTTATTCAAAGCAAACTGTCAAGAGGGCCCCATACCCCTCATCGTGTTAGGGACGCAAAAATCAAGGAACATAACACTGTTATGACCGAAACTAGGGCGGCAAGAGTGGAACCAAACACTAGCATAAGGCCGAGCCTTCCACCCTTTACCAATTATATAGATGCATTAATTGAATAAGAGATATTGTGATATCCAATGATACCCATGTCCCAACATGGAACAACCTGCAACTGCACCTGCAACTAGCAATGCTATAAGAGGGGCTGAGCAAAGCGGTAACATAGCCAAACAACAGTTTGCTAGGAAGGGTGAAAAGGTTAGAGGCTATCATGACAATTTGGGAGGCTTGATAAACAAGTTGTAGGTAGCACGACATAGCGATAGCATCGAGACAACTAGCATAGCAAAGATAGTAGTGAGATCTAAGGTGACAGTCATCTTGCCTGAAATCCTGCTAGGAAGAAGACCGAATCCATGAAGTAGACGAACCAACGTAGTCGAACGGATCCTCACAATCGCAACATTACCGGAAGTATCAAGAAGAAGCAACACCGGAAAGAAACAAACAACATGGTAAACAACCATCACATACACATGGCATGATGCACAATCAAGTATGATGCATGTCCGG